TCGGTTTTTTCAGGCTGCAGGAACAGCTTTCACTAGAGCCTGATGGACATCTCCCAACTGTTTGCATCTGGGAGATTAATCGACTTCCCATTCAAATTCTTGTCTGTTGCTGTGAAATGTCAAATTTTATCTTGGTTAAGAGCTGGGCACACACATACTGAGAAGTAAAACACACTGTCAAATAGAAATGTAACTTTTGGATAGTCTGGATCAGCCTAAAGAAAGGTTCCTATTCCCATCAGGATCTTTTCCTGCTGCCCAGTTCCTCACAGCTGAATTTAATGATGGTGAGTCAGTCTGGAAATTAACCTTAATTCTGAAACCCAAAGCTCAGTGGTTTTGTTGCCACTGTTGAGTCTGTTATTTTTCAAGCTCATTTATAAATTGAATAAATCCAAGAACTGAAAATCTTTCATAAGAGTGTAGCAATTAAACACTGCCTTTTCCATCCTCAAATCCAGCTGTGTTGTGTGTTGGTGCCGAAGAGGGCTGGAGAGGTAGCATTAAATAGTTATTTAGGGATGTTAATAACATGCTTAAAACGTTTCCATCAAGTGCTTTTGGATCGTGCGATGCCATCTGTGTTACAGTTGATTTAGTTAATTATACAGGCATGAATTCCTTGGGAGAAGGGATGGCACTGCTCTAACAGCTTGTTTGTGAGCAGGGTAACACAGTGACATGCTATTAAACTCATGGAATTGGCTCTGAAATACATTCCTCGCTGGTAGTCCTCCCCAAATTACGCTGAGTTGTTCTAATTTAATGGATAATGTGGATGGGTGTGTTATTGGAGTTTATTGAGGAAACTCCAATGGATTTTTGTACCTTAAATATTAGGGTTATCTGAGAAAAAGGAGAGATTACTTTCCTACCTGCTCACTTGTTTTTAATTAATTATTGCTCTTTCTGCAAATTAGCCCTAAGAGTTGCACAGTTAAACAGGTGTCCTGCTTTAAAATGTCCCTGTTGGGATTTAGCAGCAACTGTGTCTGCCAGTATTGCATTCAGAGGCTGTCCTGAGCTGGAAGGGACCCAAGGATCATCAGCCCAGCCCCTGTCCCTGCCCAGACCCCTGTACAATCCCCCTGCACACCCCTGGGGCGCTGTCCAAAGGCTCCTGGAGCTCTGGGAGCCTCGGTGCCCGTTCCCTGGGGAGCCTGGGCAGTGCCAGCACCTCTGGCCATGAACCTTTCCCTAAATCCAACCTAAACCTCCCCTGGCACAGCTCCAGGTGTTCCCTATAAATTATTGGGATTGTCAATTATGAAGCTAAACCACTACACCATAATTAGCTTCATAATTGACACCCATCTATGGTTTGCACTTAAAAGAAAAGCCAAGGAAGCTGTGTAGACCTTAGGATGAAGAACCAGCGGATGGCTTTTGGTCCTGGCTGAGGCACAAACGGGTGACTGCACACAAGGGGAGGCTGCAAATGTAGAGCTTACAAAGGACATGATCCACCATCAATGAGCTAAAGCCAACAACGGTGGAAGGATTAATCTTTGAGATAAAATTCAGGTCAGTGGGGATTTGCCATGTGTCTGTTACAGCTGCTGCTGGAATTGATCTAATCCTCGGCAAAACTTGGGCTAGACTTCCATCTGCAGAGATGTCGGGGCTGGGGGGTGAGGGGAGCAATTGTTTTGAATCTAAAGCAGATGTTATTTCATGAGGGATAGGTTTCAGAGCTTACTTCACACAGGGAAGTGATTTTGGTTATTAATTTCCCTTCTGGAGATGGAGACTTGTTCTCCACCAGCCGGCTGCGGGTTCCAGGGTGCGTTAACTCTGCAGTGTGGGGAGCCTGCAACTTCCTGAGCACGAGTCAGGTGTGCCTCTTTGGAATCTGGGTTGAGTCACAAACATTGCTTGTATTTTTTAAAAATTACTTTATCAAATTAGTCTCAATTTAAACAGCACAGGAAAAAAAATCCTCATGGAATGTCCAGGGCAGGGAAGGGACTGGAGCCCCAGGAGGGGCTGAGGGAGCTGGGAAGGGGCTGGAGAATTCCTGAGGGAGCTGGGAAGGGGCTGGAGAATTCCTGAGGGAGCTGGGAAGGGGCTGGAGAATTCCTGAGGGAGCTGGGAAGGGGCTCAGGCTGGAGCAAAGGAGGCTCAGGGGGAATTTCTGGCTCTGCACAAGTCCCTGGCAGGAGGGGACAGCCGGGGGGATTTGGGATCTGCTCCCAGGAACAGGGACAGGAGGAGAGGGAACGGGCTCAGGCTGGGCCAGGGCAGCTCAGGGGGGACAGCAGCAGGAATTTCCCCATGGAAAGGGAGCTCAGGCCTTGGCAGTGCCCAGGGAGGGTTGCAGTGCCCATCCCTGGAGGTGTCCCAGGAATTGCTGGAGGTGGCACTCAGGGCTCTGGGCTGGGGACACGGTGGGGATGGGGCAGGGCTGGCACTGCCTGGATGGGAGGGATTTTCCAGCCCCAGGGATTCCAGGGTTGGATTCTGTGGCTCTGCATGTGAAGGAAATGCACAACAGAACTCTCTGTACAGGACAATTCATGTCTTGGCCGTTGTTCTTGATCTCAGCTACCTGCTCACTCCTTCTCCCAGGCAGTTTTCAACAGGTTTCCTTCTCACCTTGCATGAATGAGTGATGCACGGTTTATATGGATATATGAGAAATGTTTACATGGATAAAGCCCAAAGCACAGCTCCAGCACGGGACACAATTGCATTGGCTTAGCAGGAAGTTCCTTTTCAGAGGAAAACTCATTTTCTTGCATTTGGACCTACAGGCTAGTGCAATCCTAAATGGAACATGGATATTACTCATATGAGGAAGTGGGAACTCAGCCATGAACAGTATTGCATTGTCTTTCTATTATTTTATTTCAAGGTGCACCAGAGGCTCAAAGGGGTTTGTTTAAACTAATTAATCAGAACAATTTGTCAAAAACAGAGAACACCAGTGCTCACAGGCTGTGGCAGACATTGGAAATGTTCCATATTTGTAAGAGCAATGTTCTGCTTTCAAATATTGGTACCATGGGTAGGGATTAATTCACTTATTTTTAAGCGTGGTGAAACATTCATTTCAGCAACTACTACCTAGAAAATACATTTCCCAATTAGTGTTGATGTCTGAATTGCCAGTCAGGAGGCACAGGGAGTGCTGAGCCCTGCTCAAGGCAGCTCTGATGCATTATTGATGCTGTTTTCAATATCAAACGTGCCAGGAATCAGATGCATAGCCTCTTCTCCCAGCATCAGAAATATGATGACCTTTCTGTTCTATTAAGGTGATCTGTCTGATAGCTGCCCCTTCTATGTAATTCATTGGAAAAATAAAGGCAAGAGCAGGTGCCTGTTTTTCCAGGGAATGTCTGGTGTGCCCAGCGCCGTGGGGAGGGGAAGCTGCCCTGTCCCCGTGCTCGGTGTTGGTCTCCAATGTCCCCACGTGTCCCCAGGGTGACAGCAGAGCTGCCCTGTGCCCTCAGCCCGGGATCAGCCTCCTGCTGCCTGTGTCTGGCTCAGCACGCACTGCTGGCTGGGGAGTGTGTCCATGGGCTGTTTCCCCTGGTATTTGGGATAGATATTCTCTGGAGCCTGGCCCCAGCTCCAGCTGGCTGCTGGGGGTGGCTGTGGCAGGCACTGCTGGGGCACAGGCCCCGCTTTCAGAGCCTCCCACAATGGCTCTTGTCCCCTGCACACGGTGGCTGGCACTGGCAGCTGCCCTTCTCCCTCCAGTCCCATTTCCATCCTTCCCTGGGAGTGACAGCCCGGCGTGTCCGTCCCTGCTGCCTGGGGCAGCTGCCAGGGCTGAGCTCTGCCGTGCCCAGCATCGCTCCTTGGCCGTGTTTGTGTCCCCTCTGCTCCCCGAGGATCCTCCACCATCGCCCCTCGGGCCCCTGGGCATCTCTCAGATGGTTCAGGGGGCACAGTGCTCGCTCCTGGGCTGTCCTGTGCAGGGCCAGGAGCTGGATTTCAAAGATCTAAAGATGCTTGGCATGAAATGTGTCAATTCGTACCATTAAGCCTTTGTAACGTTTTAAAGAAAATTAAAGAGCTGCAACGCTGTAAATATCAGGATCTGTGGTCCTACAAATCGACCTCAGACAGAATTCTCACCTGCTGAACTCTGCTCCACAGTACCAGCTCCTGAGTCTCCTTTTCTGTAAGCATACAAATGTAAATTCTCCCAGCCCTCGTCTGTCAGAAATAATCCTGTTAGCAATTACTCTCTCAAATCCCTGTACCATTCAAATTAGGATTTGTCTGCCATTCATGTGGGAGCAGTTAAAGCTTGTTGGTCTCATTTCCTCAGGTTGTGAGCTAACCTGGCTCACGCTGCCTCTGCCTTCGGAGGGAATCCTCTAAGAAAATAATCATAATGTGCACAAAAGCCTCATTCACTGCAGCAGGTACAGCTCTGTGCCTGTGGCTACGGGCTGCCCCATTTTATATCAATAAAGAGGGTTGTAAATGTCCACTGGTGTGTTGTGTCTGCTTCCACAAAGCAGCAAGAATCTTAAATGCAAAGAGCACCTACTCATGTTACAGATTTTTCAGGCAATATCTTTAATTTATTTCTATTTCTTTGCCCAACCAAACATGTTTCTTTTTATAGAAACTTCCAGGCTACAAAGTCAGGCACCAGCCTGAGAAACAGCAGGACTGAGACTGTTGGTACCACCTTGGTTTGGACAATGAATATCAGGAATGTCATTTTATTGTCCCACTTGTTTCTCTGGGTCTCAGCCTTCCTCCTCCCCTCTGCCCCAATGTAGATGTGTAGTGACTGCTCATCCCACAGGATTTCTCTGGCTCTCTGCAGCTCTGCCCTGCTGAACTCCAGCCCCTCTCCCAGCCTTATATCCCATTTTTATACCCCCAGAGCAGCTGCCTCCCTCGGTATTTTCTCCCTGATGGATTCAGGCTTTTGCTCTTGGAGTTCAAACCAGGCTTTTTTTGGTCACAGTGTTTTGGAGGTTGGTTTTGTTGCTGTTTTGCTGTTCTCATTTATTGTTGCTCTGTCCCTGCAGCTGCCCTGACCTGCTGAGCCCCATCCCGTGGCTGCAGAGGGACAGTGCCCGCTGTGCTGTGACCTGAGCCATGAGGGACAGAGCGAGGCACTGAGGGGCATCAACGCTGCTGCCCACCTCAACAGGATTGCTGTTAAAAAGGTGGGAAATCTGAGCACTTTTTAATGGAATTTTGTGGTATAACCATCCTGTGATTCCATGAAAATAGAGCAAAAATAAAATCTTCCCAGTGGTTGCTGTCTCTGAGCCGTGGCAGTGCTGGGGGCTCCATGGATGTCCCTCCTGAGCATCCACGTCCTCTGTCCTGTGTGGGTTCCACATCCTCTGTGGATTCCACATCCTCTGTCCTGTGTGGATCCCACACCCTCTGTCCTGTGTGGATTCCATATCCTCTGTGCTGTGTGGATTCCATATCCTCTGTGGATTCCACATCCTCTGTCCTGTGTGGATCCCACATCCTCTGTCCTGTGTGGATTCCATATCCTCTGTGGATTCCACATCCTCTGCACTGTGTGGATTCCACATCCTCTGTCCTGTGTGGATTCTATATCCTCTGCACTGTGTGGATCCCACACCCTCTGTCCTGTGTGGATCCCACATCCTCTGTGGATTCCAGTGCAGATGAAGGAACAGGAGGGTGCAGCCAGGAGGATCAGGCCCTGCTCCCAGGGAACAAGGGATGGGATAAACAGCTGCATCAGGGGAGTTTCAGGTTGGATACTGGGCTGCTCTCCATGGGAAGGTCTGTCCAGCCCTGGCACAGTGGCC